TTTAAACAACCTGTATTAGAAACAATAGGTCTAATTGGACAATCAAATTTGTGAACTTAAGGTATCCCATACATTATTCCTGTGTGGGAACCATATAAGTATTATCATTCAGGGCAGAGTTTTAAGTATTACCTTATTGTTCTCTTTATGTAGATGTCGTGAGATCTTGCATGCCACCTGAGGCCAATGATTACATAATTTTATATAACCTGTAATTCACTTTCTGATTTTGCCAGTAATGTTTAGAGTTGGGTTCTGGGAATACTAAGATAAGGAAGAGGGTGAATATCATAGCTGAAATAGTTATTGTAGGGTGAAATTATTAGCTAATACACATTTTATCTTTATTCAGACATACTCGGATACATTTTTCTTAAATTTAATGCAATTTCTGCATTTAGTTGCTCACATTCCCATTTAATGGACGTTCCAAAGTTGTAAACATACATTGGAGAACAAAACTTTGCTACTATTAGTTTTACATCAACGTGGGAAAAAGTTTCTAAAACTCTAATAAAAGATGTATTGCAAGTTACACTAGACCACAAAAAGTTTGCTACTGGAGAAAACTCAAGTGATTCGGGGTAATTTGATGGTGCTGATTTTAAAAATGTAGTCAGAATTTGTCCATCACCTCTAGATTTTGTGTTATTGTAACATCTCAATATTTTATTAGCACTATGTGAAATACTATGAAGCCAACTAAGTACAAGATGTATGCTGTGAAATTAAGTTTACTTGAACAACAAGAAGCTCTCACGTGCTCCGTCTGCTAGAACACTCGAGAAGTCCCTCAACTGAACATAACAGGGACAGAGTCGGATGCCTCTCTCTCTCAGTCGCCTCTCACTCAGTTGGGCACTTCACCTCACTCTCCACAAGCAGCACGGTGAACTTATTGGCTTTCGTTTAAAGCAATGTAATTTATTAGATATAGGAACAAAAGTTATCATTTACTGAAGTTACTATCAAAGTCTTGCTTCTCACAACAGCATGCAAGATACTGTGTGTTTCTGTACAAATGTTGATGCACTAATGGAAGAATTAGGTTTTGAACATCATCCTCAAGAATGGAGTCATTTTATCAACTCTTCTAAAGTTAGTCTGAAAGCTGCACTTTTACACAATGGGAACACTAAGCCATCGATTCCTGTTGCTCTTGGTGTGAACATGAAAGAAACTTATCGAATATGGTGATCTAAAAGTTATTGCACTCCTGCTAGGCCTGAAGAGTGGGTATACTAAACATTGTTGCTTTTTGCATCTCTGGGACACCTGAGATGATAAAAATCATTTGAAAAAGAAGGAATGGCCAGTGATAGAGAATTACATACCAGGTAAACAGAATATCAAGTATCAACCTTTAGTAAATCCTCAAAATGTGTTTCTGCCCCACTTCTTATTAAATTGGGTCTTATGAAAAATTTTGTAAAAGGAATTAACAAAAATGATAATGGTTTTGTATATCTGTCTCGATTTTCCAAAAATCAGTGAAGCAGAAATGAAAGTAGGTATCTTTGTTGGGCCACAGATTCGGGAAGTGCTGATGGATGATGATTTTGAAACAGTACCCAATCAGAAAGAACTTACTGCTTGAAAATCATTGAAACTGGTTGGAAAAATTTCATAGAAAATCACAGAGATTAAAATTATGCTATGACGATTGATGATATGCTCAAGAACTACAGGAAAATGGGGGTTTAAGATGTCACTAAAAATGTACTTCTTACATTCCTATTTAGACTTCTTTCTAAATGATCTAGATGCAGTGAGCGATGAGCATGGTGAGCACTTCCACCGAGAACAACAGAATCCTGCGATGATTGGAGATTACCATTGGTTCTTATAGAGCGAAACTGAGATCATATACAAAAGGCACAACAAGTCAAGCAGATATTTTGTAACAAAAAATAATACTATGATGAAAGTTTTGAACATAACCTGAATGAATTTTCAGTACATAACCTTGTCATCATCACTTTTTAAACTTGTATTACTATTACGTATTGTTTTCACACATTCTTAAATGTAATTTTCAATGAATAAATATTTATTAAAGAAAAAGTTATTTTCATAATGTATGAGAATATTTTGAATAAATCTAGCATAACTTCAAAACTAGAGATGATATGTAATTTTTCAACACAATCTTAAAAATATAATCATCGTGAAGTTACTCCTAAACGGTTTCTTTTTTTTTTGCAGAGAAAAAAAAATTTTGTTGCCTGGTGATATACACCTTTTACACACATGTAAAGAATACATACTGCAGTCCTTGTTCATAAGTCTTCATCTACACATAATCAAATATGTGATGCAGCAATTGGCTTTAAATTATTAAAGTTGTATGTAAGCTATTGGTTGAAGTATGTAATTAAAAGACTTATGAGGTACCACAGTAAGGCTTTGCCTGACTATAATTTAACTGGGATATTTTTTGTTTATTTGTTCACTGGTTTTAGTTTTTTTTTGCTATCTAAGTTTGATTTATTCTATGCATAACAGTCCTGAACCTGCATTTTGTGTGTGCCCACTGGAATTTCCTGTTGGACATTAACATATCTAATACCAAACAGAAAGGTTTGTTTTTTTTATTATAAAATAAAGTTACATAGGGCTATACTATGGATTTTCAGTTGAGGTTTGAACAAAGCTCTTATGGCTGTGTAAAAGAACTGTTAGAATTTTGCCCTATAGGCAAAGTGAGAAATCTATAAAAGCATGGAATGACAGGGTATTTTATTAGTGTTAATGCATAATGTTGCTTTGATTTCATTAATTAGAAAACTCAAAACAAATACAACATACATGAATAAATAGGCATTAGAAGTACCAATACACTTTGTATATCTGATGTTTAAGTGAATACAGCATTTCTAAATAGTTACTGTCCTCAATCATAAGATACTTTGTAAATTAAATCTGGTAACCAATTTTTTGCAAGTTTGTTTCATTTTGTTGGGTTGAGGTTCTACTTCATTAATTCTTGTCATGTAATAAATAAATAAACTTAGTATTCTGAAAATTGTTTAATTTTGAAGTCTAAGTACAAGAGAGGTCCAGTTCAATCTATAATGTGTGTTATCATGTTATAGTAGTTTCGGAGAATTTCATTCATCACTAACCCTGCAACTGTGTGGCTATATAATGTGAAGAAATGAATAGTGTCCAATGACACTTTTTCTTCACTTCACCTATCCAGTGTATAGGTTTTTCTCATAGTGACTACAAAGCACATTCTTGTCATGTATTTTCAATAAGCTAGTAATGGTGAAGGTCCTGATGGAAAAAAAAAAGGGGGTTGAGGAGTGCGAGAGAAAGAAGGTGGGTGCACTGGGAGTACACAGATAGAGAAGAATTTTCTTTAATATTAAAAAATATATTATTTTGTTTTTTTTTACAAACCTTTCTTATGTTGCACATTTATTTTTTAAATTACACAATACCATAATTTCTAATGTTTTTTGTTTCCATTCACTAGATTTTGGTGTAAGTTGTCCCTAGTTTTCAGAGTAAATTATTATGAATATTTTCCCTTTCTTCATCTTTATGTAGTTGCTTTTGAATTAAGATTTTAACCATTTAATTATTTTATTTTATATTCAGTTCAACTCCCTTTTCTATTTGGCTTTGTATTCCTTTTATGTGAACACACATCTTGAGTAGTTCAATTTCTGTTACATTCTTGTCCAATTTCTTCAAGTTACATGTAATTCACTTATATTTCTATTTTCATACTTTCGTTAAATAAGACCAGTTATCCTTATATTAAGTTCTGACAACCTATCCAATTTACATTATGCTTTCTCAGTTTGCTTGTTTGTTACCTACCTGTTCCAAAGTGAATGACACATCAAGAGTTCCAGTGGTAGTGTGAAGCTATTGCAATGATTTTTTAATTGTTACAAATATAGCTTTATATTACAAAATGTACTAAAGTCTGTTAGAGCAAATTTTAACCAATAGTATTTATAGAAAGAAATAAGAAACCATACAGCTAAATTTAATGATGTGCCTTAAACAAACATAGCTGCTTTTTATTTGTGAAATGTTGAATGATAAATCTAACTAAACTAATTTTAAAAAATTCTACTGGGTCAGTTCTGCACACTGCTGTATTTCAGTCAGTCTGTAAACAAGCCTTATGATGATGAAAAATTTACTTTTTGATTAATTATTTAATTATTTTTAATATTTTCACATTCACAGGCGAAAAGTATTAATTTCATAATTTCTAAAGTATCACTTTTTTAATTTTCAATCTTTAACACCCAGTCTGTGAGTCAATGAGATCAAATTTTAGAGATTGGGTGAGCTATAAAAGAATGTAACAGTTTTCACTATTCAAGTTTTAAATAAAGTATGTCTGGGGTGATTCCGATAGGGTGCTCAATCTGTTAAACTCAAAAACTACACTTTACTGCCAAAAATAACTCACTTCTCAACAGTATTTGGTGTTGTAGGTTTGGAGTTTACTTCTGTTGATTGGTCAAATAAAAAGTGCTTATGAATATTAATGACTGGTCTAAAATAGACATAAGATCATTTACTGGTCTATATTCCCTCAAGTGCAGTGCCTGCCATTGTCACTGCTGCTCTGCTACAACTACTGTTGCTACTGCTACTGTTATCTCATATTTCACACACCAGACTTGCTCCTGGAAGTGATACAAGTATTTGCCTGCAATTCCAAGCACAGAAACCATCACAAAAAAATTCAATGATTACTGGACATGTCACAGCATTGCTTTTGGTGGTGTATGCTCTCCTTGATTATATTTATCAACAGAAATCAAGAAACCAACAAAAAAAAAAAAAAAAAAAAAATTAAAAAATTAATACAGTAGTAACGAAGAAGAACTAGTACTTAGACAATATAGTAGAGTACTACGTCACCTAGTTTTGT